GGGGGGCTGTGGAGGGGATGAGGCCAGCCTCTTCTCCGTGGTGCCCAGTGACAGGACAAGAGGCAACAGGCATAAACTGAAACAGGACATTCCATCTGAACATGAGGAAAAACTTTACTGTGAGGGTGGCTGAGCACTGGCACAGGTTGCCCGGAGAGGTAGTGGAGTCTCCTTCCTTGGAGATATTCAAAACCCGTCTGGATGTGATCCTGGGCAATGTGCTCTAGAGGACCCTGCTTGAGCAGGGAGGTTGGACTAGATGATCTCCAGAGGTCCCTTCCAACCTCAACCATTCTGTGATATCTGTCTACATGTCCATTTCTAACAAAATCAGTTTCTTTTTTCTTCCTCTGTCTCAACCTTAGCCCATAGTCCCTTATTACTCTTTACTGCCTGTGGTAGGGAAGCATTAATGAGTCAGTATGAGTCAGTTCTAGGTATGAGCAATTTGGATTCTGTAATAACTGTTTGGATCCCGGTCAGTCTGAATCTACTGCTAGATCAAAAAAGGGTCATTGTCCCTCCAGAAATGATATTTCATGGAATCACATGAGCCTTTTGAGAAAGACAGCTTCTCTGCATGCCCAGATTTATATGTTACCCTCCTAAAATTGCTCTCCTCTTGTTCAAAGATAGTCCTGCCATCACAGAAGCTGACAAATTGCTACTCAGATTCAAATCAGAGAAGAAATGAACTCATTTCCAGCCTCCCTGTTGTTTTAACTAATCTCTTTTTGAGCGAACTGACCCAGCCAGATCAACCAAAAGGGAGATAAATATATAAATACATAAATATATACATAAATATGTATGTATTAAAAGACTAGAAATTATGACACATGGACATAGAACTATTTTCATATGTCAGGTAGCTCAATATTTCTGTGTAGGTCAATCATAAATATGTTTAGCTTCTTAACAATGCTGGCTGCCTTTAGGTTTTCAAAGCCAAGAATAACACTGTGGAAATTATGGGCTTTGGGAGTATTAAAACGGGCAGGAGGAGATACAGAAAAGGCAAGATGGTGTAGGTTTGAGAGATTTGGCCTAATTTTGATGAATGACTTTTAATGGCCCGCTGAATTACACAAGCTGAACATGCCTGCTTTGAACCCTTCCCATCCTGTCATTCCTTTATAATAATCAGACAAAACATAGGACAAAACTTTATCTTTTTAAAGTCATGACAGGAAACATACTTTTTTTTCAGATTTCTGATTCATTTCGGGATTCTGTAAATACTTCCTCTTTCTTTCTCTAGTTATTCATCACTGAACTCTCCATCTCGTAACTGATCTGCTGCTGCTGATGTGTAAAGTAGGACTAGAGAAAAAAATCCAAAATAAATATACATGCGTTTGCTTTTCCTACACTCAAAAGTTCTAGCCTTATTACTAAATATTGCATCTGTATGATCAGAAAAGCTCTTTAAAACTGGTAGTTTTAAATGTGTTGAATGTCAGTAAATATAACAGGTACCATCAGATAGGTTTCTCTTTCAAATGTCATAATCAAATTCAGAGTAATTTACAGCAAATACCAAAGCCTAGGAGACAGTGGAGATAAGAAGACACAGTCAAGGATTTATAACAACCTCTCTGAAAAAGTTAGTTTGTATTTAGAGCGTTTGGGAAATAACCTCACTGATTTCTGAACTGATCTCTGCTGTGCAGCTATAGCTAAGAATTGCTATTAAAAATACAACAAAACCTTAAGAGCAGGAACAAACAGAGGCTTGTTTCACATAATCTTACAAGGTTTTTTTTTTTTCTTTTTCAAGGCTTGAATGCATGAAAGAAGGTTGGATGTGACTGCAGGGAAATATACCCAAGCATAACCTGGACACAGATCCTAGAAGCTGTTCTAAGTGAGTAGGCACTTTAACTGTTGTGGTATCCATTTGGAGTTGGGAAGACAAGGAAGAGGCTGGAGCATGAAAAGAAGTCAAGTCTGTCCATGCTGAACAGCTTGCAAAGTCACTTTACATTGTAACTTGAAATGTGAAATTACATGCTATGTACTCTGCTCTTCACTGGTATTTTCTGATATGTAAGATTTCCTCTGACAAGATGAAAAACAGAATCAGTCTTTTCTTTCCCTTGAGATGACAAAACAGGAAACAGAACTTTGGCAGTAGGAAGCTTTCTAGAAATATCAGTAGGTCAGTATTACGTTACAGGTCTTCTGATTCCCAATCCAGATGCAAGTCCAGTGAGCATGCAGCCATCACTCAGCAGAATAATGATCCCTTTTGAATAAGGATAAAAAGGAATTAATATTCTGAAATGTGTTCACATTTGAGATGTTGTTAGCAAATCAAAAAATTACCCGAAAATCTTAGGACAAAAGCAGTCACTGCCAGTTGACATAACTATTCTTCTTTATAGGATAACTTTGTATTCTGAACATAAATTTAATGATTTTTAGTTTCTTTTCAGTGGACTTTTAGAACCCAGTCCTGACTCACTCACTAAATGCAAAGACTTTTTCTCATATTACAGTGGCAGTGTTGGATTGTTAATTCCATTCTTCTGTTTAAATTGACATCATTTAAAAAGTCAGAGTAATAACCAGCTGTACCATAGTTTAATTATAATGGCATCATCAGTTTAGTGGTGTTTAAAAAGTATATCCAAGAGTCAAATGTCTCTCCAGAAAAATCACTCTTGTCCTCTCTTCTTATCTATCTTCTCTGAAATGTTATGTTCTTATATGCCTACACCTGACACTGCCATTTCTATAGAAGCAAAACTTAACATGAATAACGGAAAACCTTGCTTAAAAGTACTGGCTCCAGACTGGTTCCATCTCCCAATCTGATTTCACATACTTAATTCTGTAACAAGATCTCTGGGGTCTGCACCATTTTTAATTATGGTATCAACCCCAATTCCTTGATTTCTTATTAATGAGACAATGATAAGTTATTCCACAGCAATTTCTTCATTATTTCAGAAATTTCATAGAAACATGTTGCCAGAAGCTCAGTTGTTCTTAACTGTACCTCCTAGAAAAATCTCTTTTCCTCTTGCAAGCTCTTAAAACATGAGGAATGAGCTACTACCTGGCACAACTTATGGGTGTATAATTTATATGACCATTTCATGCACTATGTATATTCAGGTATGAGAAAGCAACAAATAATGGCACAAAAAGCTACATTTCTTTGGAACAGCAGTAGTTCTGTTTGCTTTCTAATGATGAATAGTAATATTACACCTAAATTAATATTCTTCTCCATACTTTTCTATTATACACCAACAAAATAAGACTGATTAATGGTTGCTGCTGCTTCAGAAGATAAAACACACCAGAAAGGGACTTAGGAAAGTACTGTATTATTGACTAAATTAGTTTAATAGCTTACTAGTTCTGAAGACATTTGGTTAGGTTTCATGGAATATGGAAGTTCCTTACGGGTCTCATATGTGGGTTTACCTCTCACCCTGCTCCATGACAGGAGAAGATGATGGTACACACCTCTTCCTAAGTTTCAGAGGCAAGAAAAGCTAAGAATCAGGTCAGAAAGAATGTCAGTCCAATTGTTTGTCAGGCCCTCAGTACCCTGCAGTGGTTTGGCAGCCTCTGCTTGAGGCCAGCTCCAATAACAGCGCAGCCGTGAAGAGCTGTGTGAGTAAGATTAAAGCCTTGTCATGAGCTTCCCCTCCATAGGTTGGGACCCGTTTTTAAGCTCAGTCACTCACCTTTGGTCCTTGTCTCAGTCATGCTGCAACCATGTCTGTGCCTGGCCTTGTACCTTGCTGATCTTGACCCTCACCCTGACCCTGACCTGCAGACCTGACCTTCTGGCTTGACTTGGATTGTCATCACTGGACCTGCTGTAGGACTATTCACAAAAGGAGCAGATAGGAAAAATATTCAGTGTTTTAGGATTTATTCATAGCATCTGCTCCAGGACATTTTAGGGATCAAACTGATAATTCATAAGACTACAGACTGGAGTCTCAGTCCTTGTATAGTTCAAGTAGGTATAGTGAGAGTGGGAACAGGGGAGGAAGAAAGAAAATGGTAGGAATTAGAAGTATACAGGGGAGGAATTCAGCACGTTTATATCCTCTTAAGTGAGATTGTGTGAATGTTTCATGCCACCCTATCTTTACTACTATTTTCTCTTTGAAAACTGTGTTGTAGGTAGAAAGATACAGAATCACAGAATGACTGAGATTCGAAGGGACCTCTAGAGATCATCTAGTCCAGCCCCCCTGTTCAAGCAGAGTCACCTAGAGCACATTGCCCAGGACCGTGTCCAGATGGCTTTTGAGTATCTCCAAGGAAGGAGACTCCACAGCCTCTCTGGGCAACCTGTGCTAGTGCTCAGCCACCCTCACAGGAAAGAAGTTTTTCCTCATGTTCAGATGGAATGTCCTGTGTTTCAGTTTGTGCCGTTGCCTCTCGTCCTATTGCTAGGCACCATGGAGAAGAGTCTGGCCCCATCCTCTTGACACCCTGCCTTCGGATACTTATACACATTGATGGGATCCCTCCCACGAGCCTTCCTTCTCCAGGCTGCACAGTCCCAGCTCTCTCAGCCTTTCTTCATAGGAGAGATGCTCCAGTCCCCAAGTCATCTTCGTAGCCCTCTGCTGGACCCGCTGCAGGAGCTCCATGTCTCTCTTGTGCTGGGGAGCCCAGCACTGGACACAGTACTCCAGATGTGGCTTCAATAGGGTTGTGTAGAGAAGGAAGATTATTTTACTCGACCTGCTGGCAATACAGCCAGGGTACCATTGGCCTTCTTGGCTACAGGAGCACGGTGCTGGCTCACGGTTATCTTGTTGTCCACCAGCACTCCCAGGTCCTTCTCTGCAGAGCTGCTTTCCAGCAGGTCGGCCCCCAGCCTGTCCTGGTGCATGGGGTTTTTCCTCCCTAGGTGCAGGACCCTGCACTTGCCTTTGTTGAACTTCAGGAAGTTCCTCTCTGCCCATCTCCCCAGCCTGCGGAGGTCCCTCTGAATGGCAGCACAGCCCTGTCCTCCCACTTTAGCCTCATCATCAAACTTATTGAGGGTGCCCTCTGTCCCTTCATCCAGGTCATTGATGACTAAGTTGGACAAGACCGGACCCAGTACTGACCCCTGGCGGACACTGCTAGCTACAGGCCTCCAACTAGACCTTGCACAACTGACCACAACCCTCTGAGCTATGCCGTCCAGCCAGATTTCAGTTCACCTCTCACTGTCAACTCATCTAGCCCACAAGCAAGCAAGTTGCAAGATGAAGATAAATTATGTTAGAATATTTTTTTTCTTACCAAAGGTGGAATAAAATTCATTACATAATTCAAGAAATAAATAAATATGTTATACCAAATGCAGTTATATATTGGACTTTTTTTTTCATTTGCAGATGCCAGTCATTATAATATAATAAGACAACTTACAAGATGTTAGGACTTCTTTGCCCTGCTGCTATAAAAATAAAATACAACACTGTCTAATATTCTTTCTTTCAAACATTAATCTATTTTGATATTTTATGAAAGAACAGAATTTTCTTATATAAAGCAAGTATTAAAAAGTGTGGGACTGGAAGAAAAGAATCCTACAGTGACTTCTAATTTATCATACAATAACTACACTAATTTGCAGTTATCAACCTTCTAACTAAGCTAGCGGTTCTGTACAATCACTGCAGTGATGAAGGAAGTTAAATTCTATCCTTAGTAGGATTTATGGAAGTGGAAAAGGATTCAGGAAAAAAAAAGACTCTTTCCTCTTAAAAAATGAAGAGTAATTAATATTTACCTTATTAGCACAAGTGTAAACACTACTACAAAAAGTAGGCAAGACAAAGATAATTTTAAAAAGGCTAAAAAAAACCCCAGGCATAGGGTTTTCTGGCCTATTCTAAAATATCAGCATTCAGTCACCTTTCATAGAAAACATTAATAAGTGACAAGTGTTCATTAAAAATGAAAGTGGGGGGGGGGAAATAAAAAACATTAGATTCCCAGAAGCAAGTAAAAGTAGGATCAAACTAGAATAAAGAAACTTCAGATAGTTACTGGGGGCTTTGTAAATTTTAACAGTTCATAAATATTTCCCATATTTGCTAAACAGGAACAGATTCTAATTTGAAACATCTTTAAATGTAAGGACAAATCTACTTTAAAACATTTCAAGATTAATGGTGACCCAACTTTACGTACTCACTGCACATGATCTGGAGCATCGTCATAATTGCCTAACAAAACCAAACTGATCCAGATATTCAAGCACATTGACTCTTTATTGGTCAGTCAGGTTCCTTCTTTCACATGTGTTTTCTTTGTAACTATTGTTAAGTAAAATACTAAGAGACTTGATGGAAACATAAGCTGCTAGCTCAGCTTATAAGACTGTTATGAATGAAAACCCATAAACTTGTTTTTGCTATTTTGTTTCTCCCTTTCATTCTTTCTAACTTATTTTACAGATGATGTGCTGAAAGGAGATGCTCTAGAATCTGTTCTTCATTACCTCCAGGTTCATTACCTTATAGCTTCCTGCCCGAGATTTCTTCTATGTGTATTACTCTCACATTTCTTTTTCGTATCACACTTTCAAGAGTGCATAATAGACAAGACAGATAGTGGCAACTTTTTCATTATTATTCTTGTCTTCTGATCTCAGTTTCTGGTATTCAGTGTTCATATAATATATTTCTGGCTGGGGTGCAGGACACCTAAATTTGTTAGATCATTTTAAATGCTCATTTTAGTTCTTTCTGTCAAATTTCAGTTGGACCTTATGTATTGCAAATCTATTTTATATATATATATTTTTTTAACTTAAACCCATACTTCCAACTTTCCCTTGGCAAAGGACCTAATTTAGAATGATCTTTTTGATGAGAGTG